GATTGGAAGACTTAATATTGTTAAGATGTTAATACTACAAGTGTTCTATAGATTCAACACAATCCTGATCAAAATTCCAACAACCTTCTTTACAGAAACAGAAAAACCAATCCTCAACTTTGTATGGAATGGCAAGAGGCCCTGAATAGCTAAAATAATGTTGAAAGTGAAGAACAAAGTAGGAGGACTCACATTTCCTGATTTTAAAACATACTATACAGCTATAGTAATCAAAACAGCCTGGTACTGGTATAACAGTAGACACATAGACCAGGGGAATAGAATTGAGAGTCCAGAAATAATCCCACACATCTATGGTCAACTGATTTTTGACAAGGGTGCTAAGTCCATTCAATGGGGAAAGAAGAGTCTCTTCAATAAATAGTGCTGGGAAGATTGAATTTACACACGCAGGAAAATGAAACAGGATCCATGCCTCACACCACACACAAAAACAAATTCAGAATGGATTAAGGACCTAAATGTGCAAACTAAAACCATGAAATTCTTAGAAGAACAAGCAGGGGCAGTGCTGTCAGGACTAGCTTTCAACAATGGATTATCTAACAATAACAAAAGCACAAACAGCAAAAGACAAAATAAATAAATGAACCTCATAAAAATTAAAAACTTCTGTTCACTAAAAGAATTTACAGAAAAAAAAAAAAAGAAAAGACAAGCTACTGATTGGGAGAATATCTTCAGAAACCACATATTCAACAAGAATCTAACAACCAAACAAAATATATATAAAACTTCAGCAACTTAACAATAAAAACACATATAACCCAATCATAAAATGGGCAAAGAATTTGAACAGACAGTTCACCAAAGAGGACTTTCAAATGGCCACCAAACACATGAAAAGATGCTCAGCATCACTAGCCATCAGAGAGATGCAAATCAAAACCACAAGGTGATACTATTTCATTCCCACTAGGATGGCTAAGTGGGAAAATGACCTGTTGATCTGGTCTCTTAAAGATTACAGCCTAGGAAACCCTATGAGACAGTTCTGCTTTGTTACATATGGTTGCCATGAATTGAAACTGACTCAACAGTACATAACAAAAACAACAGGATAGCTAAGATTAAAAAAAAAAAAACAGAAAATAACAAATGTTGGTGAGGGTGTGGGGAAATTAGAACCCTTATCCATTGCTGGTGAGAATGCAAAATGGTACAGCAGTTGCAGAAAATAGTGTGGTGGTTCCTCAAAAAACTAAAATTAGAACTACCATATGACACAGCAATTCCACTCTTAGGTATATACCCAAAAGACTTAAAAGCAGAGACTCAAAAAGAGACTTGTACACCAATGTGCACTGAAGCCTTATTCACAATATCCCAAAAGGTGGAAACAACTAAATGCTTATCAACAGATGAATGGATAAACAAAATGTGTACATACATACAATGGAATATTACTCAGCCAGTAGGAGAAATGAAGCCTTGATACATACTACAGTATGATGGAGCTTGAAGACATTATGCTGAGTGAAACAAGCCAATCACAAAAGAACAAATATTGTATGACCTCACTTACTGTATTTTTACACAAATACGACGTGCCTTCTATGTTTGTTTGTCAACTGTCCCCTCACAAGGTGTTTTCGTAAATGCCGCTATGCCAATTTTTTTTTACATGTTGCTGTAAAAAAAAAAAAAATAGCATAGCACACTTATCAAAATATCTTGCAGGGGGCGGGCGTGGTTGACAAATGTAGAAACCACGCATTATTTGCCTAAAAATATGGTATATAAAAAGACAAGAAAAGGCAAATGTATAGAGAGCAAAGTTTATTAGTGGTTACCAGGGGCAGGAGGGAGAGGGAAAAGGGGGATTTATTGTGGTGGAAAAATTGCGCTGATTAAGGGTAGGGTTGCACAGCCAACTATTGTAATTGCTGTCAATAAGTTGTACACCCGTAAAAAGTTGAATTGGCAAAAGTTGTGTGATAGATATATTTACCAAAACAAAAGTAAATTCTGAGGCTGCTTATATACAACCAAACAACTCATGGGATTTGGTTCCTTGCTTTAGAGGTTTAGGGTCATGGTTTCATGGGACATCCCAGTTAATTGACCTAATAACATGTTTAGTGCTTCTGTTCTACCTCCCGTTTCATTGCATAGTTTCTGTGGTCTTAAAAGCTTGCAAGCAGCCATACATGGCACAATTGGTTTCAATTCACCTGGAGCAACAGAAGAAGGAGAGTCAGGAACAGGAGGAGGAAATGGAATGTGTGGTTAACTGCCTCCATGAACAACTGCCTCCTTTGCCCTAAGACCAGAAGAACTGGATGGTGCCCAGCTACCATTACTGAAAATTTTGATCAAAAATTCCATAGAAGAATTCTAATCCAAGGGGGGAAAATGCTGAACAGAGTTTCAAATGCTCATGGACTCTAGACTTTCTGGAGCCATGGAGGGTGGATGAACCCCTGAAACTATTGCCCTGAGATAATCTTTAAACCTTAAACCAAAAGTATCCCCTGAAGTCATCTTAAAACCGAACAATAGTTTAGCTTAACTAGTAAGAAAGGCCTGCCTTGAGCATTATGCTCTTTTAAGAACTATCTACATCGGATCAAATTGACAACAGCAACTGGAAAGATTAGATAGGAACCTTAGGGGGCAGTGAGTTTATGTTAATGAGGGAGAAACAACACAGGAGGGTGAGAATGGTTGCACAACTCTTAGAATGTAATCAGTGTCATTAAATTGTACATGTAGAAACAGTTAAGGGAAAAAAAGAGAATATTTTGTGCTTTAAATTTTGACAGTTAAAAATAGAGCTTAAATTACTTTGCGTTATTTAATTTGGCTTAGAAATATTCAGTTTTTAGCCTAAAATAACTTTTTGTGTTTGACATAAACTTAACTTACTGCTAGAAGAAACATATGGAAAATTACACCCTAATTCTTGCAAGTTTAGTTTCTCTCTGTCAGGATTTATTTATTCAAAGACATTTTTTAGGGGGTGGCAGCATATGTTGAAGGACACAGGCTGCAGAATTTGTGGCTTTGGCAAGACTGAAATCATGGCTGGTCCAGAAACTGATGGTCTATTCCAGTTCACTGGTATTAAAAAAATACTTCTACTCTTATACCCTCACAAGTGGAATGAATTGTGTACTATCCACATATGGGGACTTGCTTTGCTTGTCCTATACTTCAAGTTAAGGTCTAAAAAAACTCCAGCTGTGAAATCAACATAAATGGATTCTAAACTGTTTGAAATTCAACCGCTAAGTTCTCCTGCTTGGAGAAGCTAACGTCAACTCATCATGTGATACTCAATCTGTACAATAAATTATGAACCTGGAAAAAAAATTTGTTTTGAAAGTCAACCATATGCTCTGTTCTAAACGCTGGGGAAGTAATAATGGACAAGACAAAGTCCCTGCCCTCACGGAACTCATAAGTACAAAAGATAGAAAACAAGCACGTAATCAAGTAAATGAACAAGAATTTGAGGCAGAGAAGTAAGATGGAAACCAGCAAGAATAAACAAAGAAATCAGAGGGACGTGGCCTGGGTGGTAACTGGAGGAGTTAGGGGCTGGTTTGGGCAGATGGTCTATCTGAGAAGGTGGAGCTCTCTAAGCAGACGACATATAACCTGAAACTCCGATGTCAACAATGAGCCAGTCATAGAAAATCTGAGAGGAGAGCCTTCCATACAGAAGACTTGTGCAAAAACTGTCACCAGCCTCTCTTTATAATGGTGGCGCTGAGTGACAGGCTGAGCAATCCATGTATGCTAACTAGAAATCATATTTACATTTCCAGTCTTTCAGATTTGGGGAATCTGGTACCAATATCAGTGTCTTCCAGATGCTTTATTAGGGTGCTTATTAGAAATACGAGACATCATAAAAACATGGGGATAAAGAGAGTGAAAATCACAAGAAAAACATTACTAAAACCCATTGAGTACATTTTAAATGCCCCAATGAAGAATTTTTAGAACAATTAGTGGATCCCTCTAGCAAAATATAGCCACATACCATAGGTTTTTTTGGAGAAGATGAAAGTAACCATGATTGAATAGGAAAACCTAACTGAACGGTTGGCTGTTTCAGTCCACCCAGGGGCACCTCAGAAGAAAGGCCTGGTGATCTACTTCTGAAAAGTCAGCCTCTGAAAACCCAGGGCAGTTCTAGTCTGAGACACATGGGGTCACCAGGAATCAAAGTTATCTCGATGGCAATTTTTTTTTTATGTGACTATTTACAACCAATACAAACAATTCACTTTGAAAATAAGTTTTGTAAATTCCTAGGATTCTGATATAAACTAAGCATAATAAACTCTAGTGTGAAATTATTAGATTTGCATGAGATGACAATTTGAGAACTTGCCTTCAATGATATTTGCATTTCTTTGGCTGAACTGGTTCAAGCCTAAATTCATTTGGATTATAATTGCGCTTTGTGATAGTTCATCTTATATATCAACGTGGCTAGGCTATGGCGTCCAGTTCTTTGATCAGACACTAGTCTAGATTCTGTTGTGAAATAGTTACGTGATTACATCAGCTAGCCTTAAGTAAAGCATATTATCCTCCATAACATGGTGGGCCTTATCTAATCAGTTGAAAGCCTTAAGAGCAAAAAGGGAATTTTCCAAGGGTGTATTCTGCTCCAGACTATAGACATTTTGCCAGAATGCCTTACTCTTCCCGTCACCTAACCTACAGATTTTGAGACATAAGAATACAGGAATCTCCAGCCGGTCACCTGATCTATAGACTTTGGACTTGGCCAGCCCCCACAATCATATGAGCTGATCCTTAAAATAAATCACTTTCTCTATATATTATATGTGTGTATATATATATGTATTTCTCACAAGTTCTGTTTCTCTAGAGAACCCTAAGACACCCCTTCTTTTTCTTTTTGGCCTTAACAAACAGTAATTTTTTTTCTCATAGTTTAGGAGGCTGGAAGTCCAAATTCAGGGCACTGGATGTAGGGGAAGCCTTTCTCTGTCAGCTCTGGGGGAAGGTCCTTGTCTCTTGGTTTTTTGGTGATCTTCACAAAGTGCAGATATCCCTTCTTAAAATGTGTAGTTACTTGGCTTGTTTTGAAGGTGCTAGTCTCAGGGTCTGCCTGGCTTTTATGAATATTTTAGCTAGTCCAAGGCTGGTTTCCCCAATACAGGCAGTACATACTGTTTCCAGACATCAAATTAATGTCATCAGGGAGGCCACTGACCCCCCCTCTTGATGGTGAAAGGCAGCTGGGGTACTCCAGTGGGCAGAAGATTTGGGCAGGATTGTGATACAGCTCTGGGATGCAGAGAGAAAGAGAAAGAGCACTGTCTTAGATGTGAAACAGAAAATCAGACTAGGGGAAGCGAAAGAGTCACATTCTCAGATGGAGCCATTTTATTTCCAAACATGATTCAAAACAGATAAATGCTGGATTTTCCATTCTGGATTTTCATTTTATAAAATATATTTGCTACTAAAACCCTTCATAAAATCTGTCTCCCCATTTGTAGTGGGAAATAAGCCAAAAGTCCAAAGTTAAAAGGTCATGCATAAAATATTACATCCATGAAGATAATTATGCAATAGTCTTAAATTCTTCACAAATAAATGCTAAAACATTAAAACTAATTTACTCTTCACTATATTTTGTAGCACTTAATGTCAAGGTTTTTTTCTTCATATATTTGCATTCATATTTCACAGACAACAATGATTACAACAAAGATTATTAGCTTTTTCATAAAATAGGAAAACAAAACAAAGCCATAACACTAAAAAAAAAAAACAAAAACTCAAAGAACAATAATTCACCCCAAACCAAACTACCTTTAACATAAACTCTGTAGGCTTCTCCTAAGGGTTCTTAGCACTTGACTTTTTGGTTGGGTTGTTGTTAGGTGCTGTTGAGTTGGCTCCGACTCATGATGATCTTACGTATAACAATGAAATGCTGCCCAGTCCTGTGTTATCTTCTTGATCATTGGTATGTTTGAGTCCATTGTTGTGGCTATAGGCTCACTTATATCCAGTGATTTTCATGCATCATGATTTCCAGTTGTCATTACCCCAAGCAGACTTTTATTTTAGCAAGGTCTGAGGTGGGATACAGTGTAAGTTATTAGACAAATTAGTCACAATTAACATCTCCCAAATTAATCACATAGTTAAAATCTCCAGTGAAACTCAAGTATTTCATCAGAAACAGTGGTTGACCCTTTTTTCTCTTCACTCCCTTTTCATTCAAGAGAGCCCTTTAGAGATTTGTAATATAATGACTATAGGATATGGCTCACAATTCTGGGGGGAAAATGTCATTTTAAGGAATTTTGTGCATGTACTATTTTCTCTGCTTTCTTAGAGGTAGAGGACCCTAAAATAAGGTCCAAACTTTGGTTCCTTCAAATTATGTCAAAAAGAATAGTATTCTATGAAGAAGATAGCTATCACAGAGTAAGAATTAAAATTCCAGTTTTCTCGAAAGAAAAATCTTTGCTGATTCAAGTATCTGTGTCTATGGAATAACAACCTTCAAAAAACTACCATAGAGGAAGAGACCAATACAATTTGCCCATCTGACAAAATGGTTGGAATTTATAGTTGGATGAGACTTCATAGATCAAGTAATCCAACTCTCTGATTTTAGAGTAAAGGAAGATAAGGCCCAAACATGTAAGTGAATTACCCGAGTGCCTTAGCAAGTTAGCTCGTATGATTATTTTTATACACACACAGGCACACACACATATACACACCATTGCGTTTACTTCTGTTTTGCATATTAAATGCTATCAGCTCATACAATAAATGAAAAAGAAGTATGCAAATTTTCTTTTGTTATTCCACTGCCAAAAGGGGGAAATACCTTCCCTTCAAAGGAGGGAAAAGGTTCCACTTTCTCTCCACCAATACATTGTTACTGGCTATAGCGCAGCTCTGTGCAGTCCCTAAAAGGTACATGGGCTGGGGACAGAAGTAAGGGGGCAGGAGGAAGGGCAGAGGCACAGCTACCAAATCTGAATTGGAGTTTCTTGTTATGCCAGAGATATTCCCACTGGCAGTGAAGGCTTCACATGAAGTTAAACTTGGGCTGTTGGAACATCTAGATCTGTCTGGAAGAAGAAATGAGGGGTGTAGGCACCAGGTGCCAATGTATGCATGCCCTTTACCCAAAAGGGAATGACCTAGTATCACCCTGACCATAGAGAACAGAGATGAGCAGACTGGGTCTTACCTAAGCTAGTGAACTATAAACTTAGATGACTTTACCAGATGTACTCATAGTTTACTAATTACTTTAATTTATATATGCATATACACATCAAAATATTTAGGCTTCATGTTTAATAGTACTAATAACTATTTTATCTCTTTCCATAAAATTACATATGTTATTACTCTAAGGTAGTTTTTTAAACCTTAAGGTAGTTTTTCAAACCTTAAGGTAGTTTTTCAAAAATACCATTTTTTTAAATATTCATTGCCGTCATTATTCTGAAAAATCCTAAGTCTAGCTGCATATATTAACATTAAATAACTTTAAAAAATAAACAATACATTATATATTCCAAAATAGCCCCATTTTAAAGCTATATAAGTGAAAAAGTTGAGTTTTCAAGAATAGACTAGACCTTCTAAAGGTATTTTTCATAATTTTAAACTATATTAAATTCATCTTCTTTTCTAACTATGCCAAATATATACACACTGCTCTTGGTAATTTATGTCAGAAGTATTCATTACGACACAATAAGGTGTTTCATTTGCCTGTTTTTACTTGTTCTAAAATTAAAAAAAGAAATTATTGTTAGTCTAAATAAATTTGTTCCCAAAAGATCTCCCGAAGGAGACAGCTCACAAAAAGCAACAAAAAATTAATTATGTGCAGGTATCCAGTGCATGCAACCTCATATTTTCTAACAAGAATGGTGGAAAGTAGCTTTCAAGTATTATCATAATCCAACTTACGGATAGCTATCTCATAAAATGAACACTCTAGAGGAATAAAGTCCTCTGAGAAACTTCTCCCTGCCTTTGCTGATACTCTTGTAGGAAGCGAAACCATCCATCCATAAAGAATGAAGGGCACTCTGACCCACACTGCCCTTAAAGTGCACACATTAACACTGCTCTGAACCCAAAGTAAATTCTAGCAAGTTGAAAAGAGACCACATTTTCCTAACTCATTAAAGTTCACTATATCATTCACAGCTGGAAGAATTTCTTCTGTACTTGAGCTTAGCCAAAAGGCCGAGAAGTGATAGAAGACTTTCTTCAGAAAAAAAGCATCTAACAAAGCCAGGACCCAAAGCTATTTCCAGCTCCTGGTCCTGCTTTCTGCAGCTGTGGGTATTAATAGATGTTTGGCTAAAACAACCATAGCAGACAGACTGGCCCACTTTGGGAACCAGGTTCAGATGTTTTGCACTTAAGTTAAAGTTCATTAAACAAAACAAAACGCAACTATCATAAAGTCTGCAGGGAATAGAACTTCCATAAGTCACAAGTAATAGAGAAAACAGTCAACTAAAAAGTGCATGTCCTTCCAAAGCAGGTGCCAGAGGTCAAGAGGGGCTCAAGCCTTCTAGAAGTTGTGCTCCTTTACAGGTTTTGATCCAGCCACTTGATGTAACTATTCCTAGTCCGGATTCCCACTGAGAAGTTGGTGGGCCAGCTGGTGAAAATCAGGCATCCATGGAAGCCATCCTCAAAGTGGTCGAGGGTCACCTCCACACCTGCATTCTCCAAACGCTTTGCATACATGATCCCATCGTCTCTTAGGACATCATACTCACATGTGAGAATATAGGTCTTTGGGAGGTGCTGGAGGACTTCTTGGTCTGCAATGAGTGGGGCAGAACGGGCATCAAGCAACTGAGGGATCTCCTGGACAATCCTAGCATTGCCCGTGGTGTGCATGACAGGCTTGTAGTTCTTTGTGATGGATGCAGGCAAGAGGGATGTCCAGTTTAGACGGGCCCGGAGGGCAGCAGCCTCTTCCACATCAAGCGAGGTGTGGTTGTTAACTATCATTGCCTGGACAAAGTCATAGTTGCCTTTGAAGTAATCCACCCAATACTTCACCATGACATAGCGGGGCAGGATTGGGGTGTTCGCATTCTGCTGATAAGAGGGTGTGTTAAAATCTAAAGCTTGAAGAACTGGATAAATTAAAGCTTGCAGTTTGAACTTGCTTCTTAGATTGGCATCTTGACTGAACTGGAGAAGAGGAAGCAAACAAATTATTCTATTAGGCATGGCTCCTTTTACAGAAACCACACCCTCTACAGTAGCTTAATGTGTTAAACTTTGAGTCGGTCAAGGGCATACGTCTTAAATTTTCACTAAGCATAGGATTTAGTAATATAGTTTTAAAAAATAAATACCACCCCCCCCCCCCACCAGATCAAGCTGCTGGGTATTAATGAAGAAAGGTATGATGTTTGCAACTTATAGTTTTGAATGAATGCTTCTAGGGCACATGATGTCTTAGGCTTTTGAACCTCCATTACCACATTACTTGTATCTATTTTACATCGCTTGGCACACATTGCTGCACATCATGGATGAATATGGCGAAACTTAATTCAGTTTTATAGGCAATGGTTTCCTAGGGAAAAAAATCTAGCCTGGCTCTTCCAGAGAAGAAGAGTAGGAAGAGCTAAATGAACAGATCATGGGACTCCAAAGGTGTTTTGGTAGACCTCAGGACACTCCCTCTGATGAGCATTTAATCTTCATGCTTGGTGAGAGTGAGAATCTAAATAGTGCTGGCAATGCACCTCCATTCTACTTCCTTAGCACATGCCCCAGGGTCAAGCTGAAATGGAAATGTGACTCCCTTGCCTCAGCAGATCTCATCTTCCCCATGCCTCCCTTCAGTGTGAATATATCGTCTCATTTTGTAATTTCAATGCCTAAAACTATGTATTTTTCATGCAACATCTAAAAGCTAACCAGGTCACTCTGTTTCACAGGCAATTAAATGATCTGCAGGGTAACTTTAGCCATACAATTTCTTTCATACCCAGACCTGAGAACCCCATCCCCAAGATGTAACTGCTCTGCAATAGCAAGAGGAAATGATTATTAATATGTGCCAAGATTTGTATACGCATCATCTCACTAAGTCATCTCAACAGCCCTGCAATCAGATGATGTTATCCTCATTTTCCTGAGGCTCAGAGAGGTTAAGGGGCTTGCCCAAAGCCCCAAAGCTCTGAAAGGATGGGGCCTGGATTCAATTGCAGTTCTGTCTGGCTTTAAAGCCATGTTGCTTTTCTGCTTACTCGGATTTTCTTCTTCCCATATTTGGACACGTGGATAGTAAACTTGCCAATATGAAGAGGAGAACTGAGTTCTTTAATTACAGCAAAGGAGAAAGACACCAAGGTACATGACAAAATAAAAAGGGGATGCTATTCGAGGATACCAAAAGCAATTTGGAGGGAAGGAGACAGAGATGCTATTCTTAAATTATTTAATCCATCAGATGAAGAAAATGTGCTTATCTTGAGTTTACAGAGCTGCCAAAGAATATTCTTGGGTGCATTAGGGCTGGACACAGTTTTCAAAGAATCAGGTAAAGTTCAGATTAACTTGTAATATAGCATTTACAATGGATAAACCATTTAATTAATATATATATATATATATATATATATATATAAAACTTTGAGAAATACCTTTTAATTTGGCTCAAAGTTCTAAGGAAACAATTTTAGTAATTGGGATTTAAGCAAAAAGTTCTGTTTTCCAAGTGAAATATGGAAAAGGAGCAGGAGATACGTAAGTTCCCTGCATATCCCTAAGGAGCAAGGAAGTCCTTGAAAATGTTAGCCCTCCTCTAACAAAGACTCAGAGATGACACCTCCTTCGATGACCCATCTTTTAGCTCTCCAAGTACAACTATATGAATAACTTGGCCGCGTAGTGACCAGCCCACCCCTCTAAGCCTTTTATCACACGGTGATGGAGAATGCTTTGGTTTGCTAGACATTATCATACACCCCTCCCACCACCACCACCTGAAGGCAGTGGTGTTACCTCTTGCCCCAGGGCAGCGGCCAAATTCCCACCAGCACTGTCACCAGAAATGCCAATTCTGCCTGGGTCAACTGAATACTTCTGTAAGACTTCCGGTTGCAGAAAATGCTTCGTGGCACGTACAACATCGTGAATTTGTTCGGGAAAATAAACCTTTGGAACGAGCCTGTATCTGTGAAGACAAAAGTTGTGTTCATTTAAGGACTTCACCACGTCTTTATCGGCCATTTAAAGTTTCAATTTTAAGGGGCAACTGACTCTTTTGAAGCCAGAAACGCACAAGTGAAGAATTAAAATAAACATAAAAATAAACCATTTATTTTCTGGGAACTCAAACACTTGGTTTAAAGTGTAGTGATTTTGTATTAGCAATAGTTTTTTTTGTTTTTTTTTTTTTAAAACCATCAGCCACGAAACAAAACAAAACAAGCAAAAACAAAAAACGCCCGCACACCACCACCACTGATGAGAAAACAAAAACTCCAAAGTCAAATGCAGATGTTGATTATTCAGATCTGGCTGGAACTACAATAGGTTTTAGAATGTTATTTCTGGAAGTCACTGCTCCATTCACAACACTTCTGGGTTAGTAGGTGACTTGGCCGCATTAATCACTTCATTATCTAATGTTTAACATGTCCATATAGTATTCTTTACAATTTATTTGACAGTCAAATTGTACTCCACTGAAGAAGTCCATGCCAACCTCACATTAAACCCAAACAATGAACTCATTCACTGGAACATGGAACTAAAGGATCAGTTTTTAACCAGCAAAAGAAAAGCCAAGTGCGCAGACCCTCCAGGCTCTAACACTTCCGGTGTTTCTCCTACTGCCCCAGTTTGCAGGATCAGCGTCCCTTTGTGGGTGTATCTAGTAGGACTCATATTCCCATTAGAGTCCCAAAGAACCCCGGTTTTGTCAAATAGTCTGTCCATGATTTTGCCCTCCATCTCCATATTGACAATCTTGGCTTGGCGTGCCCTCTTGTCTCCACATTCTTCCCTTGCTTATTAATTCTCACTCATCCTTCAACCTGGGTCAGCCGAATACTTCTGTAAGACTTCTGGTTGCAGGAAATATTTCATGGTACATACAACATCATGAATTTGTTCAGGAAAATAAACCTTTGGAGCTAGCCTGTATCTGTGAACTCTCCAGGCCTTTCTTGACCGTAACTCCATTTACCTTCTGGGGCTGAGCTGGCTACTATTCCTTGATAATTCTTTGTGGTAGGGTACATCATTGCACTTATTGCCTCACATTAAAATGATATCTTCATGTATTTCTTCTAAAGACTGTGTTCTCTGATAGCAGAGATTGTGTCTTACTCATCATCGTGTTCCCGGTATCTACCAATGTGTTGGGCACATAATCATCCACTCAATAAACCTTTATTAACATGCCTTCGTTTTACAAATGAAGAAACTAAGCACTGAAAAGTTACCTAATCTGTAACATAAGTCAAATATATATCAAAACAAAGTAGGGTAGAAACTAATTACTTAATAAAAAAATCTCACAATACTTTTAAGACTCTGGTCTTTTTCTTTCCACTTATAATTAGCATATTTATTCCTTGAAGCCATTTTTTCCTAAGCCGGTCTACATAAGTCCATTTATTTCCCCCATCCAAAATCCAGCTGGCTAATTAAACATCTTGACATGCAGTGCAGATACAAGCAAATGAACAAATATTTGTAAAATACTTTAAGAAGTAGTGAATATGGATGTGGTCATTTAGGAATTACTACATTTTGAAAATCTAAATGCAATAAGAAATTCTGTAGGTGGTTACCCTATAGCAGACAAAATAAACTTTCTAATTTATTATTTTCCCATCTGTGTTGATCAATTAATCATCCCAATGCTTTTTTCTTCAGTTGATTTTCACTGTCTAAAAGCGGCTTCCTTTCCTTAAGGGGTGAAAGGAGTAGGATCACAAGACTTTGTCCACCAGGTGGGGTCATCACACAGGATTCCATTTACCCTCAGTTCTTGGCCCGGGCCTCAGTTTTAACTTCCCTGTTACCAAGGTGAATTCCTAGTTCTCTCAATGAATTAAAAACAAATGCACTTCATGACTCAAGCTGTGAAAATAAAAGCTATTTTTTATTATCTCAGCAATAGCCTCACATATCATGATACCCCGGTTGCCCAGCAGGCCAGGACTTGCACACATACATGAATTAAGTTGATTTTCAGACGCTGGTTCTGAAACGTTCTCAGTCACTTTGAACCAAGGGAAACTGGTAATCTAAAAGAACAGCTTCCTGCCTCAAATCTTATCAGTTAATAACTAGCTCAGATTACAGCGTAAACATGCTTAAAAACAAGCAGGTTATGAGGCAAGAATATTCTTGGCACCCTTGAAGATGCATATCCTATCCCTCCCCCTATCTTTGCTCAAGACGGAAACATTCTCCAGCTTTATTCAATAAGGAGGGTCACTAGTTTTGTACACTGGAGAATGTAGTAAAACCAGATATTTCTTAGATCACCTAGTATAAGATGAATACTGAAATAGCTTGAAATTGACTTGAAATTTATTTATTTTGTTGGGTAAAGGAGTGTTTATTGATCGGGAGCATTCTCTCTCTTTTTTAAATTATGTTTTAGATGAAGGTTTACAGAGCAAACTAGCTTCTCATTAAACAATTAATACACATATTGTTCTGTGACATTGGTTGCCAACCCCACGACCTGTTAACACTCTCCCCTTTTCAACTTTGGGTTCCCAATTACCAGCTTTCCTGTCCCTTCCTGCCTTCTCATCCTTGTCCCTGGACTGCTGTGTCCATTAAGTTTGTTTTATGGGTCTGTCTAATCTCTGGCTGAAGGGTGAACCTCAGGAGTGGCTCCAGTACTGAGTTAAAAAGGTGTCTAGGGGCCAAACTCTCGGGGTTTCTGCAGTCTCTGTCAGACCAGTAAGTTTGGTCTTTTTTTGTGAATTAGAATTTTGTTCTACACTTTACTTCAGCTCTGTCTGGGACCCTCTATTGTGATCTCTATCAGGGCAGTTGGTGGTGGTAGCCAGGGACCATCTAGTTGTGCTGGACTCAGTCTGGTGGAGGCTGTAGCATTTGTGGTCCATTAGTCCTTTGGACTAATCTTTCCCTTGTGTCTTTGGTTTTCTTCATTCTCCCTTGCTCCAGATGAGGTGGGACCAGTGGAGTATCTTAGCTGCTCACAAGCTTTTAAGACCCCAGATGCCACTCACCAAAGTAGGATGAAGAACATTTTCTTTATAAACTATGCTATGCCCATTGAGCTAGATGTCCCCTGAGACCATGGTCCCCAGCCCTCAGCCCAGTAAGATGGTCCCTCAAGGAGTTTGGATATGCCTATGAAGCTTCCATGACTTTGCCTTGGACAAGCTGTGATGACTTCCCCAGTACTGTGCACTGCCTTACCCTTCACCAAAGCTACCACTTACGTATTGTCTAGTTTGTGTTTTTCCCTCCCCACCCCTCCGCTCCCTCGTAACCATCAAAGATTGTTTCTTTCTGTGCGTAAACTTTTTCACGAGTTTTTATAATAGTGATTTCATACAGTATTGGGCCTTTTGTGCTTGACTTATTTCACTCAGCATAATACTCTTCAGATTGATCCATGTTGTGAAATGTTTCATAGATTCATCATTGATCTTTATCATTGCATAGTATTTCATTTTGCGTGTACCAGTTAGTTTATCCATTCACCTGTTGACGGGCACTTAGGTTGTTTCCATCTTTTTGCTACTGTGACCTGATATTTATAATAAAAGTTTGTAGTATCTTGACAGACACAAAAATCCGAGAGTCAGAAGGAATTCCTGGGTAGTATAGTCAAAGAAACCCGCTGCCATTGAGTCGATTCCAACTCATAGCGACCCTATAGGACAGAGTAGAACTGCCCCACAGGATTCCCAAGGAGTAGCTGGTGGATTTGAACTGTTGACCTTTCAGTTAGACAGCCAAAGAAAACATACATAAATTAGGACTTGGAACCAGTTCATTCCAGTTCTGATCCCTGCTGAGAAACTTGCATTTCTCACATGTTCCCAGCCTATGCCAATGATTCCACCCTAGATATTCTGAATCAGAATCTATAGTTTAACAAGATCCCCAGGTGATTCTTATATAATGGATCATGTTAAATGTAGATTCTGATTCATAAGAATCACCCGGGGATCTTATTAAACTGTAGATTCTGATTCATAAGAATCACCTGGGGAACTTTTTAAACTGTAGATTCTGATTCAGAATATCCGAGGTGGATATACGTGAGGAAAAACCTGGATATCTTGTTAAAATGTAGATTCTGATTCAGAATATCTGGGGTGGAATCATTGGCATTGGTTGGGCACTTGTTAGAAATGCAAATTTCTAAGCAGGGGTTCAATACAGAATGAAACGGTTTGAAGCCCTGAAATAAATATATTTGCCATCTGTTGCCTGTGTTCAAAGCTACGTTCCTATAAAGTACCAAAAGAGTATTCCAACTTATTTTTTAAGTTTTCAAACTGATTTTGAGGTAATGCACCTGATGAATTCATGGCAAATATACCTTGAATTTGCCAAACTCATAGCAGGCAGAGAAAACTCTGCAAAACCAGCTAGACCGCCTATCTTTATTACTGCACGTACCTTCTACTAAAAACCAAAATCCACACTCATGGCTGTCAAATCAACTCCAACTCATAGCGACCCTATAGGACAGAGGAGAACTGACTCATATGGTTTCCAAGGCTGTAAATCTTTAGAGAAGCAAACTGTACATCTTTCTCCCATAGAGTGACTGGTGAGTTCAAACCGCTGACCTTTCGGTTAGCAGTCGAGTGCTTTAACCACTGCACCACCAGGGCTCCTTGCCTTCTACTCCCACTGCCTTCAAGTCAATTCCGACTCATAGAGACCTCATAAAGTTTCTGAGGTTGTAAATCTCTACGGAAGGAGATTGCCACATCTTTCTCCCACAGAGCTGCTGGTGGTTTTAAACCGTCCACCTTTCAGTTAGCAGTCACTCACTTTAACCACTGCACCACCAGAGACTAAAATTTGGTGTAAACTCAAGCATGAGGTTTAATCAATTGAATACATGTGCATGCTATATAAAAATGATTGTATTCCAGCTGGTGAGGCAACTCGCTAAGTGCTCTACAGGCGTGTTTCACTCAAATCTTAGAGAAA